AACCCTAAACCCTAAACCTCTAGTAAACCCCACCGGCGGCAGGAGCCGGGTTCGCGCTGGATGCCTTCATCCAGCTGCGGAGCCCTGCAGCTGACATTCTAAGGGGTCCTTTTAAGGGCTGTAGGGTTTCATAAGGGTTCTATGAGGATCCTTCAAGGGGCTGGTTTAGGGTCCTTCGGTGGTACCAAGGGTTCTGCACGGGGCCTATTATAGAAGGGTTCTGCAGCGGGGTGTTTAGGGGAACGGTGCTCTCGGGCATTATTTCAAGGTTGTACTGGATTGAACACGATGTTAACGGGTTTGCAAATTTTGAGGGGTTACATTTTCATAGGCTCTGTGAAACAAGAAATGTAACAGGGGTGTGTTTGATGCTGTACAGCATTTTCGAGCTGCTTGTGGGTAAATTTGGGCTTCAGGTCAACTTCTGTCGTGGGGTTTCGCAACGCAGGCAGCAGTTTGTGGTCTAGGTGTGCAGAGCACCAGCCTCAACCCTCGATCCCCTGCCCGTAATTCTAGACCGGGAAGCCCAACCAAAACCCTAAATCTTTAAATGCTCGAAACCCCCGTAGAAAGGTAGATTCTCCTATCCCAGGCAATTTGCCTCAACCCCAAACCTGTCTAGCAGTGCCTGAATCATCGCTGACGCCTGAACCCGCAACCTCTCCCCCGAAACTTACCGTCCCTGCAATTATAGTACAGTACGTAGCCCTTATAGAGCCCCTATAGAGTAACTAACCATGAGTAACCCTCAGGGTATCCCTTATCGTAACTCCCCCTAAACCCTGAACCCTAAACCCTAAACTCCCTCAAAGGAACCTCCTGCCCAGGCCTGAAGGGCGTGGGTGGTGCCACGCCACTCCACTGCCTTTGCGCCGGCTGTGCCGAGGCCGAAACCCTAGGCCCTGAACCTCTAAACCCCATCCCCTAAATCCTGGGCCCTGGTCAGAGGGTGAACCCGAAGAGTGCAAGTATCCAGTGGCTCCAAAACTCGTGATTTCAAGGGCGCAAACGTCATATCAATGGTCCGCTAAGTTCTAAGGTGGGAGTGTCTGAGTGCAGAGTAAAGATGACTTGCCTGATATAGGGGCCTAAATAACTACCTCTACTATTCTTGGGGGTCGTTATTATAAGTAAAATATAGTGGGCCCCAAAATCCTATTCGAATTATTAAGGCCCCTATATTACTTCCTATCCTAAACCCAGGTAGGGCTTTCTGGTTTGGATGCATGGGCTTCCCGGTGTCCAGGCTTGGCCTTTCGAGGTTTAGGGTTTAGGGTTTAGGGTGCAGGGTTTAGGGTTTAGGGTTTAGGGTTTAGGGTTTAGGGGTTTAGGGTTGGGCGATATTGTAGGGTTTGAGTTTAAGGTTGGGGGGTTTACAGTTTACATTACACTACCAAACCCCGCTTTTCTGTAGGTTCCTATTATTATAAGCCCTAATATTATGGAAGTTATAGGGACCCTACAAAACAGTAGATTTTGGTAGGTTAAGGTAGAGCTGGGGGTTTAAGATTGAGGGTTTGACGTTATTGTTCAGACAGGACTTGAGGTTTTCAAAACGCGGGTTTAGGGTGACCCCGTCCATTGACAATCTGCGAAGACCGGTGCAAGATTTGTATTTTCGCATCTCTGATATGAGTGTAAAGTGTGTTTTTCAGTTGGGGAATTGTCTGGCTGAATAGCGTAGTTCTGAGGTAGTAACAAAAGACCCAACCCCAATTAGCCTCTTCCTTAGTGGCTGAGTGGCTGAGTATGTAACCTTTGAGCCTTTGAGCTTTTTTGGGGAGTTGATCAAATCCTTCCATACCTCAACAAGTTCACCCTAATGGGGCAGGGAACTCAGCAACAAGGTTCCTGTCTTCCGTAGCTGAAAAGCAGAGTTGTAGGTAGGAGTTCCCATGTAAGGTTCATGAATGAACATCGACATGCAGGGTTCGCACAAGAACCCTAAGTTCTACCAGAAAGATCTTTGCCCACCCCCTTCCCCCATATTTTTGAGTGGTCTGATCAAGTAGTAAATTAGTAGTCGATCGTATGCCCTAGGGTGCCTTACTACATGTCGACTATCAAACACACCCCAAACCTTCTTCTGATTATGGAACTCCCCCACACTCAATCTAAACTTTATGAAGCCACCTGAAGGTTCCTAGGACTCCACCCCTTTGCAAATTCCTATAGTAGAAGTGATAAAGTTGGAACATTATAATCCTCATGCCCTTAAGGCAAAACGAATCACCCTCAAGCCGTGTTCCAACTTTCTGGGCTTCGCTGTAAGAACTAGGGCGGGCCCCTACGCCTCTATTGATCCCTTTAAAGGAACTCAAACGAGGGCCCCTACGCCTCTATTGATCCCCTTGGAGGAACCCCAAAGATAGGTATTGATCCCTTTAAAGGATCCCCCAGACATAGGCATTGATC